GAATTGTTGAAAGTTAAAGTTTTTTGAAGAACGACCTTAGTTTGCAGATTTATAAAATACAACTCTTGCAAGAATTGATGTTGCACGGCCACCAACCTAGTGAATGGATTATTTTTTGGTTAAACTGCTACACAATCCGCATAACTGCCGCCTTTGGTGTAAAGATAATCCTCAAACAATTGTTCAAACGCCGTTACTTCTATACCAATTTAATCTTTGATGTGCTTACGAGTCGATGGAATCATCGGTCCTTATTTTTATCAAAACGATTCCGGTCAGAACGTTACTATCAATGGTGGCAGCTATAGGGCCATGATATCACATTGACACGTTAGTATCATCTACACAACACGTTGGATCTGTAGAAAACTGTGGCCTGTTGACAGTCTATTTCGCCGAAAAGAGATATTTGTGTTAATGCAAAACATAATTGATCCTTTATGGATAACATTTGTCCAGATGTCTGGGATTCACACTATTGTCATCATGAAAGTACGAGACTCTATACAGCTACTATTATAACTTTTAATTTGGATACACATCTAGAGCACAGACAGTAAAAAAACCTTCTATAACCGTCTTTAATCTTTGCAAAAATATGGAATGATTCACGAATGAAATGAAGTAATAATAATACATCAAATAAGGACAGCAGTATAATGAATGGCGGTGATTAATTCATCCACTAGAAATTTCTAGTTTTATAACTGACAAGTGACTTGTAAAACATATGTTTACAGCTAACTATTGAAATTTTCAATTAACTTATTCTGAAGTTATATTTTTTTTTCTAAAAGCGTTGTAATAACCATTTACAACAATTATCTGAGTATTCCATTTCTTGTAGTAACTATGTATTTAATATCGAATAACAAAAAGTAATATTTTATAACCTCTAAATTCTTTTATTGGCCTAGCTAAAATTAATTTTTTTGGTTTGCACACAGATCCAGTATATTTGTGTTCAAACGGAATTAGGGGATCCAGATCTGAACTATGCAGTTCAGATCTTACAATAGATGATTTCTTTTCGTTTCAAACATTACTTATTTTCTCCAATTATCTAATTTCAACAAAAATTACCCCAATAAAAATAGTAGATAATATAAAAATAATACAAGAAAATAGCTTCAGAATAATCTTATATTCAGTTAATGACACACGATATATGATTCTTGTAAATAATTTACAAATTAAATAGATTGATTTTTGTAATTCAACGTAAAATATTGTACGCTTCTATTGACCTTGGTACGATTCTTAGTCACACAAATATCTATTATTTGATATTCTTTCAAATGAGGTCGTTTTTAATTTCCCTATGTAATTTGTTTGTCCCATATTTTATTTCTCCATCAATATAAATTATTTATAAAAAAATGTTGTTTCAAAGCATCTTGAGAGTTGAAAGTTCCAGAGATTAATAGTCCAGCAAATAAAAAATGAACTGAGTCATGCGCGCGATCACTTCTTCTTCAAGTGCCATCTTCGTTCCGAAGGTTGGCGATCATCAGGGCTATACGTATTTTCGAAACTGCTGACCGAAACAATTCGTTGTTGCTACAACTATACCATTCCCGTAGATTCTTTAGCCAGGAGTTTCGTCTTCTTCCTATGGACCTTTTTCCTGCTATTTTCCCTTGCATAATTATTCGAAGCAGTTCATATCTTTCGCCTCTTGTAATGTGGCCCAAGTATTGCAGTTTTCGTTTTTTGATTGTAAATATGACTTCCTTTTCTTTGTTCATTCTTCTCAAGACCTCGACATTTGTGACTCTCTCGGTCCATGATATTCTCAGGATTCTGCGATACATCCACAGTTCAAATGCCTCTAATTTTTTGGTATCAATCTTTTTTAACGTCCATGACTCCATTCCGTAAAACAGCACAGAAAGTACGTAACATCTCATCAGGCGAAGTTTCATTTCAAGGCTCAAATCTCTTCCGCAGAACACTCTCTTCATTTTAGTGAATATGGATCTGGCTTTTTCTATTCTTATTTTGATTTCCGCTGAGCTATCGTTGTCTTCATTTATAAAAGTGCCTAAATATTTGTATTTGCTAACTCGATCGATAATTTCATTGTGTAAATATAAATTTTGGACATTTTGTGTTGATTTCGATATTACCATAAATTTCGTTTTCTTTATGTTCAAAGATAGTCCATATTCTTCGCTGCAGTCTGCTATCTTATTCACCAATGTCTGTAGCTCTTCAAGTGTTTCTGCGATCAGAACGGTGTCGTCGGCAAATCTCAGATTGTTTAATCTAACACCATTTATTTTAATACCTACGGATTGCTCAGAGAGTGTTCTATTCATTACGTCTTCGGAATAGAGATTAAACAGGGTTGGTGACAGTATACACCCTTGTCTCACACCTCGCTTTATTTCAATTTCTTCAGTGGTATTATTCTCTACTCTCACTACTGCTTTCTGATTGTAGTACATATTTGCTATTAGTCGGATGTCTCGTTTATCTAAATTCTTTTCTGTCAGGAGTCTGATTAGGTGATCATGCCGCACTTTATCAAAGGCCTTGTTGTAATCTATGAAACACATGAATACATCTTGATTTATGTCAAGACATCTTTGAGACATAACGTTCAGTGCAAACAACGCCTCTCTTGTTCCGAGTCCATTTCGGAATCCAAACTGGGTATTATTGATGTCCAGTTCCAGTTTTGTGTGTACTCTAGAGTGTATAATTTTCAGGAATATTTTCAGTACATGGCTCATCAGACTGATTGTACGGTAATCACTACATTGTTTGGCATTTATCTTTTTTGGTATAATAACAAAGGTGGATAAAAGCCATTCTTGTGGTATTTTTCCTGATGTATAAATGCTATTGAAAAGTTCAACTAAAATGCGAATCGAGTCTTTTTCTATTAGTTTAAGGATTTCCGTTGGTATTTCATCTGGACCTGGGGCTTTACCATTTTTCATTCTTTTTAGTGCGTACATTACTTCCTCTTCCGTTATTTCTGGACCTTCGTCTCCTTGTATGTTACTTAGCTCAGATTGCTGTCTATCATCTGCAAAGAGTTCTTCAATATAGTTTTTCCATGTCTTCAACTGTTCTTCTAGTTCTGTTATTATGTTTCCGTTGACATTATACAGGGTATTTGGCTGCTTACGTTTTTGTGTACCTGCAAGTTCTTTCACTTTTTTATGTACATTAAAAATATCATGTTTTGCCTGCAATTGCTCTATTTCTTCACATTTTCTTTTATAAAAATCTTCTTTTGCTATTCTGATTTCTATTTTAATTTCTTTCTGTAGTTGTTTATACCTTTGTTCGTTTTTTCCTTTCATTATTCTCCGGTTGTCCATGAGAAGAAGGATCTTATCAGTCATCCAACTTTGCTTTATTTTTGGTTTTTCTTTAGTCAAAATTTTCTTCGCAGGGCCTGTTATTGCCATTTTTACGTTTTGCCATTTTTTATCTATGTTGTTCGTTGGCTGGGATGTTTCCTTTTCATGAAGTATTTTCAAATTATTATTAATACATTTTTGCAGTTTCTCCTTTACCTCCAGGTTACATAAATGACTGACGTCTATCTGATTTGTTCTTCTTTTCTGCTCCAATCTTTTTAGTTTAATATTCATTTGCGCTATTAGAGGGTTATGGTCTGAAAAGACATCTGCGCCTGGTAAGCTTTAACGGATTTTAAGGAGTTTCTGTATCGTTCGTTTATCAGTAAAAAATCAATCTGGTTTCGAATTATTCTTTCGCCATTGTCCTGGGGTGATTTCCACGTATAGAGTCTTCTCTTTGGTAAGTTGAAGAATGTATTAGATACAATCATGTTATTCTCCTGGCAGAATTGAAGTAGTCTGTCACCTCGTTCATTTCTTTTACCGAGTCCGTATTCTCCTACATGTTTGCCACTTTTTCCTTTGCCAATTTTTGAGTTAAAATCACCTAGAATTACGGTGATGTCTCGTGGTTCGTCGATTTTAATACTTTATTGATTTCTTCGTAGAATTGTTCAATTTCGTCCTCGGATTTATCTGCAGTAGGTGCATAGATCTGTATGATATTTAGTTTACTTAATATCACTTACGTTTATCGTATCGTTTACCTGTCGCTTTGACTTTTACCAAGAAGCGTGTCAGTAGTGGAGAAACGATGTGTGTATGGTCAGTCTATATGTAGTTTTCTTAGAATTATAAGTACATTGTATGTTTAGAAGTATACAGGTAGTATGTTTAGAAGTATACAGGTAGCTTTGTGATTAAGGATATATTACTTTTGCTAAATACTGTTTAATTCGATACAAAAGGAACGAGCTAGCACTAGTAGGGAAGGTATAAACGTATAAAGTTCTCGTAAACGGTTAGAACTTATAGCTAAAAATAGTGTCTAGTTTCTCTATCTGCTTGGTTTAATGAAATATCAGGGTTCGCCTCCCTCAAGCTTTTCCTTAAAATGTTCTGTCTATCTTCATAGTTTTCCTCGTTGTTCTGTCAATATATTACGCTCCTTATCTCTTTACACCTTCTGTTTGAATTATTTTCTGTTTTTGTTCAGTTTTTCAAACACAACCGCCAATGATCTAATTCAAAATTTCCGAGAATTCATTATTGGCACGTGATTTTAGCAACTTTTGACCACTAATGAAGCGTGATTTTGAATGACTGATTTCATTTTTTGTTTGCTGGACTATAGTCATTTTAGAATAAGTTTCTTTTAGAATAAACATGTGTTTGGTCCCCCAGAGAATAGATTCTCTTTTTTCAAATTAAAAATGCCCACGAAAGCAAAAGCAATCAAATCGAATCTTCTCTGAAACTAAGCTATACTCTGTATAGTACAGTCCAATGACTTACTAAGACTACTAATGTCCTTAAAATACAAAAACCCAAAATGGTCAATGATTGTATTCTAGTAATGTAGAATATTTCGAAAGTCTTAGTTAATTAATTGACTTTCATCCTATAAACCTATACCTCTACTAACCTTGAACTAAAAATAAATGTAAATATAAAAAATCATTAACGACGTCGTCTAGAAGGCCTCTCCCTATGTCGGTCTCTAGACCCTCTAGATCTACTTCTGGAGGATCTAGCAGATGAGCGTCTGTGCCTTCTAGTTCTAGAACGGGATCTGGATGGCGACCTTTGTTTTGGACTGGGTCTTCGTCTATTTTTTCTGTAAATATATCATATTTTGATTCAAGCAACAAATATCAATGATAAAAAACATATTTATTAGAAAAAAAAAATGGGATACTTGCGAAGAATCACACGAGGGTGATTTGACATTATTCTAACCTTCGACAGATGACGCTATCTGTCAACGAAATGCTTTCGAATTTGATACCTTTCATCCAAAGTATTACCAAAGATTATTAGACGCATATAGAAGAACATTCCAAATGGGCCATTTGGTAACGGTTATTATACTTCAAAACACTCCTGAAGAGGGCGACTGCATAAACTCAAACCGTAGCCGTCGGCTTAAAACAGTTTCATGAAAGATATAGTTAGGAGGAAGTGGCAAAGGACTACGAACGGAGCTATGTAACTTATGCATTCCACGCTAAAATTTCGATGCGATTAATTTGCAAACTGTTTTTTTTTACAATAAAATACTTATTTTCAATATATTAAATTGTTAATTTTTTTCAATTTTTCAATTCATTATTCGAATTTCAATTCGAATTTTTTGGGCTTTCTCTCCCAGTTATTGACTTTTACCGTTGATTGAACGCTTTTACTTAATTTTATTTATATTTTATAAGAAGATAGTTTTAATTATATTATTTGTAGATTTGTACGTATTTAAATAAATAATTTGAATCACAATATTTTTTCAAAAGATTCAATTATTAAAAGTTAAAATATTTTATTTTCTTAATATATATATATATATATATATATATATATATATATATATATATATATACATATGGTGCATGAGTAGAATTTGATCTCTAATTTAATAAAATGTAAAAATTTAACGCTAAGCGCTCTAACCAAAATCTGCGGAAGTGGCTCACATCGGTCGAACTATTCAGGAGCGCCGCAAACAAGATCAGAACTGCCATGTTAATAGCCAACGTTCGCAACGGACAGGACACTTGAAGAAGAAGAAGCACTCTATGCACACGACCACGCGGCATCTACATAAGAAAATATCCAAAGTTGCATTTGTTGCTCCAATTTTTCATATTTTAGACGCAGTAACAGCGCTCACATGAGCGCTCCCTAGTGGTACATTAAGGAACTAAAATCTTGTTTAACTTTTGTAACTTCAGTCGAGACTAAAAAATGACAGTGAAATGTCCTTCTATATGCGTCCATATTCGTTGGTTTTTGTATGAACTGAGTATTCGACGACTTGTTTTATTCTAAATTGTATTCAGACAGTGTAATCGGAAATGTAAGATAAGATTAAATAAAAAATCATTACCTATCTCTGTCACTGTCTGAACTACTGGAACTACTCGAGCTACTGGAACTCGACGAATTCAGTCTCTTTCTCAGCTTGGTGTCCTTTTTGTCGTCAAGTTCTTGCAAAACTTTGACTGTTTTCAACAACTTCTCCTTTTCGATGGCTTCTCTCTTCGCTAATTTGACTTTCTCCAACATTTCGCTTTCCTCTTTGGCTTTCCGTTGCTTTTCTTCCATTAGTCTCTACAAAATAAAAATTAGGAAATCAATAATATGATATGATAGAAACACAAACAAGATAAACACTTATTGTAATATTTAAATTTACGAATTTCCAATTTGAATGACTAATACACTTATCAAATAATAAAAATGAATAAATTTATTATACTCCTTACTAGTCCGGCCCTGAACAAACGCGTGTTTCCGGCGTGCAATTATTTACATCATCCGTAAATTGGATTCGTTTTTCATTCATTCCATTTTTGAAATGTGCAGATCACTTACATGGTGACTGTCCATCTTAGTTGTCATATGTCAGATGTCACTTTAACATTTCCGCTGAAGGACTAGGAGCCATTCTGTCTCCTGGTGTTGCCTTTAATGTAGCATCCAAAGAATTTTTAAACTGTTTGTCCTTCGTGTAGATGTATTTAAATGTTCATGACATTCGATGATGTGCTGGATAGCCAAATTTTTTGACCAAGTAAGTCTAAAACATTATATTTGATATTTCGAAGTTTACTACTTTCCTTTCACTCGGAAAAACGTTTCTTGGTTTATTTCAGATGACCCTAAATATGCTCTAAGAGTATAAGTTATTGGGAAAGATTTATTAAACGGACTGTGCTCGATATCTACCTTTTATTTGTAAAATTTAAAAAGGTTTAAATTAAACTTAATTTTATTTTTTGCTTTTACTTGATTTCCACGATATATGTAAATGATGATTACCGCTTACCATTTCTTCCTTTTTCTTCAACTCCAACAATGCCATCTTTTTCCGAAGAATGAGTAATTTCCTGTATTTCTCTTCTGCATCCTTATCAGCTTTGAACACGTCCTTGTCTTTATCCTTGTCTTCGACTTTTGCATGTTTAGCAGGGACCTCCGGCGTTCTTGATCGGGATTTCTTAGATTTATCTTTACTCCTGGACTTCCTCGAACGAGAACGAGATCTTGATTTAGATTTGGATCGAGAACGTGAACGAGATCTCCTGCGTCCTCTATTTCTGTCTCTCGAACGAGATCTTCTTGGAGATTTTTTGTAGTCCCTATAAAAATAACAGTTTTACATTTTGCTGAATGCTTAAAATTTAAGAATATTTTCATTTATATATGAATTTTACTGCGTATATTGTTCTGTAGTGAAAGCTGTTCTAAAACATCACGGTAAAGATTAAAAAAAAATCAACGAAAATGTATCTTACCTTCCCCTATTATCTCTTCTATCCCTATTTCTGCCTCCATCCCTTCTTTCCCTTTCTATAATGTCGCCACGTTTACGGTCATCATATCTATCTCTTCGCCTCCTCATATCCGAAAATCTACCATTTTTTTCATATTTGCTCTCATTCTGAACAACAGGCTTCTCTGTTTCAAATTTATTTCTTCCGTGTTTTTCCTCGACCTAAAAATCAAAACAATTAAATATTTGTATTGACTCTCTTAATATGGACTGATTACTCGTCGCAAATGAATCGGAGGAGCACAAATAGAGTCGAAATCAATAAGCTAGAATGCCATGCTGATTACATATATACAATTACGGAATATAATTCACGAAAAAATAAATTCCAGTCGTGTAAGAATGACTTTTGAATAGGAATAGTTATGGGAAATATAGATCTCTTTGAAGACGGGTGCGGATCAGTTAAGAGATCCGGATCTCATTTTTTAGAGAGAAACATCTGCTATGATCCGGGTAGTCAGAGAACCAAGTCGTAGTAATTTATGAACGGGGTCGTAGAGGTCAGTGTCACTTGCCAACGACCCATCACTAAATTTGATAACGTAATTTGACGCGTTAACAAGCAATCTGCTTAAGTAAGCTACGAGAGGAGTAAAATAGAAACAATGAAACTCCTTGTGCCGATGGTCCACGATTTTATATAGGCCAAACCAATTAAAAATTCAAAATAGAATCAATGCAAATTCAATTTCCGTTCGAAATTCCGATTCAGGATGTTTATACAGGTCAGAAAATCTTTGAATAGCGCCAATCCGTTTCTATAAACAAAGAATTATCCATGAAAATTGGTAAAGAATGTGTACGGCAAAGTTTACATAATTGAGGATCATCCGCCTTATTCGCCAGATTTGTGCTGTGTGACTTATATTCCGTTTTTAAACAATGGAAGAATTACTTGGAGCGTTATAAGAATAGAGGAGGGGTAAAGGTAATAATAAGTAATATATGGGATACAAATTAAATATTTTACAGCATCAATCTTGTTATTTAATAGTCATCTCGTATATACATTGTTTATAATAAATACTGTAGATAATATACAATAAATAATAATATAAAAATTAGCTTACCTTACTAGGCAATTGAGTGGCAGCAGGTACATTGTCCTGGTGAGCTAACTGTAGTAAGCGCATATTGACTCTTCCAAAACGATTATTGGAATTCGACTTGTTCGCTGATTGTGCTTGACTAAACTTTTCTGATCTATCACGCTGTTTGTTGTAGCCGCCGAATTTAATCTCTCCAGTGGCAGGATCTTCGCCGGTTTTTATTTGGACACCTTAAAGCAGTGGAAAACGAATTTACTACATGTAAATAGGTAACATAGGTATACGGAACTAATAGCCAACATATATATAAGGAAGCCAAAACAACAATTAAAGTATATGAAGGAAACAAATTAATACAAATAAATAGAAGCGTAAGACAGGGTGACACAATATCACCGAAACTTTCAATCAGGCTCTGGAAGATACTTTTAAAACATTAGAATGGGAAGAAAAAGTTATAAAAATTTGTGGACAACGCTTGAACCATCTAAGGTACGCTGATGACATCGTATTGATAACCGATAAAAAAGAAGAATTATTTGAAATGATGAAAGAACTGGACGTAGAAGCTGGAAAGATAGGCCTTAATATGAATTACAGCAAGACCAAAACCATAACAAATACAGATGAAGACATCACAATGAGAATCGGACAAGCTGAAATAGAGCAAGTTCAGGATTATATATATCTGGGTCAAACCACAAAACTTAACAAAGAAAACCAAACAGCAGAGATAAAAAGACGAGTTAGACTGGCATGGGCGGCATTTGGCAAACTAAGCTACATTCTTAAAAACAAAAGATATCCACAGCATCTTAAGACCAAAGTATACAATCCATGCGTACTCCCTGTTCTTACTTATAGTTCCCAAACGTGGACATTTACAAAAGCAAAATCATAAAAACCCAAAGAGCAATGGAAAGACAAATGTTGCACATAAGACTAATGGATAATAAGAGAAACGAGTGGATAAGAGAGAAAACAAAAGTGAGAGATGTTAGACAAGAAGTTGCAAAATTGAAATGGAGATTTGCCGGACACAATATAAGACGAAAAGAAGACCGATAGAACAAAATTCTTAAAAGTTGGAGACCGTGAGAATATAAACGAAGCAGAGGAAGGTTCCAAATGAGATGAGCAGATGATATCAAGAAGCACGTGGGCTCTAGGTGGATGACTGTAGCGGTAGACAGAGAAGAATGGAAAAGGATTGGGGGGCCTATGTCCAAAGATGGACCGAAGAAGGCTAATTAGATAGAAATAAGTAACATGATTAAGTAAGCAAGAACATATGTGTAAATAACAACTACGACATATTTACAAAGCAAAATTACAAATTTAGAACCATTTTTCGAAAAATTTACATAGGACAAATATTTGTAAGATTTAAACGAGCTTTTTGGGACACAAAAATTGTCTACTAAAAATTTCTAAAGTATCTAAAAATATGGCCTAACTTTATTTCCCGATATTGTATATTTTAAAAATAAGACAGAATAAGTCATTTTTATAAAATTGCAACGAAACTGTACCTCTACATTAATAAATGCAACACTCAATATGCAACAATCTAATTACCTAGAGCCATTGCTAAAAAGTCAGATCGCTTATTAATGGCTTCAGCTTCCTTTTCTTCTTCATCTACTTGTTCAATCTCCTTTTGGATATCTTCTTTGCTCTTATGTGTATTTTTTGAACTAGAAAGTGGATACTGTACTAAACTAGGTACAATTTTTTTATGCTTATAAGAATCCTGTAAAATATAACATCAATATTATGATTGGTCGGTTTTGATATGAGTAGAATAAATAAAAAAAGATCACTAGTACCTTATTTTCATCTTCGCTCTGATCTTCATAATCCAAAGCATTATAATCGACTCCCTTATTTTTCCCTTTACTCTTAGGGTATTCAGTTTGGGGCGTTAAAGATTTTTCGAAAGACGGAAGCTCCGGCGTTACACTTCGCCATTTCGATTTGTCCCTTCTACTCTCCAACTGTTTACGCTTCGCATCGAGCTTTTCCAGATCGGACATTTTGATCACGCGAGATTCTTCTTTCCGCCAATGGATAGGAGTGGCACTGCGCGATCGACTTCGAGACGGTGTTCTATATCTCTAAAAAAATATTTGCAAAACAAAAATTAGAATAAAATAAACTAAAGAAGGAAAAGTTAATTTCCTGTAGGTAGTCGCTAGTATATCATAAATCACAGTTTTATTAAAAAATCCTTTATAAAAGGTATATCATAGAACGTTTACGGAATAAAGATTCCATCTTCAGTACTGTTACTAGTTATTATTTGTCAAACATAGGAAGAAGCTTGGAAATCTTACAATCGCCACGCCCACCTGATGCGCACTAAATTTATCGGAAATATACCAGTCGAAGTCAACACTTCAACTCGTAAAGATCGGTCGGTACAGTCTGCGGTAGAGTTTTCTTAAAGAATAGTGTGTCTCAGTGCAAAGGAATTTAAATCAAAAGAAATTATAGCATATGTTATGCATTTTATGCAACAAGAAGCAAGGGACAACGTACCTCGAATAGACTTGAAACAAGTGCAAAAACGTGTTGTAAGAGCAACAGGTGTAAGTTTATCCGCCATACAAGCCATTTCGAAGGAAATGAAGTGCATCGAAGATGGTACTGCATTAACATTTAGTACTCCAAATAAAAAAATAAATAAGTCGGCTTTAACACATTTCTGGACACACCTGTTATAACCGTCCTGCGTGCTGTGACACCCCTGCTATAGCCGTCCTCTTTTTAAAAAGACATGACGGTGACAACCGTCTCGCAAACTATGTAAAGTTTAGCTAGAATCTTGCGGTTGTATGAAGACGTAAGTACAGACGATGAAGCAGAGTCATATTCAGCAAGTCATGAAAGTTTCAGAGTAGATTCGGATCTTGATAATAGAAAACACTGAAACTACTGATAGTGAACAAACTACGGATGCTAATTTATAAGAGTCAGGTGGTTCACACGAACCAAATGATATTGTTCAAGAACTAGATATGGGATGGCATAGTGATGTTGCTGACATTAGGGTTTTCTGTGAAGAACTATTAAGAGAGCAAATAACAATTGAAGGCGATATTCACACACCACTTGAAATATTTAGTAAGCTGTGGGATGATGAAATTGTGACACTTTTACTTGATTGTACCAACAACTACGGACAGATACTTTGTCAGCAGATTCGCTCTAAAACCCGACACTCTAGAAGTAGGGTTTACAAACCGATTGATAAGCAGGAGTTATATAAATTTTTAGCCTAAAACCACTTAACTATTTTCCGATATTTCCTATAACAATGTCTGGTAGACGCTTCGAACAAATTTTACGCAGCTTTTCAGCGCATAATAAGCAGGAATTTCCTACTGAGACCGATAGATTAGCGAAGGTAAGAAATATTTTAGACTTGTGTATTAGAAATTTTCAAACTTGTTATAAGCCTCCACAACAATTATCTCTAGATGAATCGTTACTTTTATTTCGAGGGCGATTAGCTTTCAGAACATACATGAAAAATAAAAAAACTAAATATGGCATAAAATTTTTAGAACTATGTAGTGCAGATGGTTATGTCCTAAATATAGATATATACAAAGGGCAAGGAGAGAACTGAGCCTGATGAAGCTATGTCCAAAACTGAAGCAGTTGTTTTAAAATTAATGCAACCATATATAAACCAAGGTTACCATCTATACATGGACAATTACTATAACAGCCTATCACTAGCTAATCGACTTCTTCGACATAAAACTCATGTAACCGGTACTCTTCGAAGAGACAGACGAAGAAATCCTGCTCTAGTAACTAAAGCAAAATTAAGAAAAGGAGAGCATGTATGGAAAAGACAAGGAAAAGTGTACATTTCAAAGTGGAGAGAAAACCGCGAAGTGCTTACGCTTACGACTTTGCATAACCCGAAACTAATAATATGTAAAAACAGAAGAAAACAAGAAAAAATAAAACCCATAGAAGTATTCCATTACAACAAATATATGTCTGGGATAGACAGGTGTGATCAAATGATTTCATACTTTTCATGCCCCAGGAAAACCATTTTCTGGTATAAAACGATAATATTTCATCTGTTAGATATAGCCGTCTGGAATGCATTTTTTTTTGTTCAAAAAGATTAACAGTCCTAATCCAGCAGCAACAATCAGATTTATCGATTTCAGAGATTTACTTATCCAGAGCCTGTTAGGACTAGACCCTAAAATAAAAGATGCGAGAACACTGATTAAGTTTCCTCCACAACATACACCACACGAAAAATACGACTCTTCCTGGTACTCCTGAAAATGTACCTGTACAACATTTTCAGGAAACGATACCTCTTCCACAGAATCATAGCCGAAATAAGTATTTTCTACGGTGCAAACAATGCACAAAAGACAGAAGGAGAAGAGAGACCAGCTACAGATGCAAAACATGTGCTGAAAATCCCCCATTGTGCCCAGGACTCTGTTTCGAGTTGTGGCATACGCAAATGTAAAAGTGTAAATCTAATTTTTTGTATTTTATTTTTGGAATTTTTACCGTTTGTATTTTATCTAGTTTCTGGAATTTTATTTGTGTTTGATGTTAGTTTATTAAAATAAATGATTTTGTGTTATAAATAAGAGGACGGTGGTAACCGTCGTGTCCCATGATGTAGATAATAACTGTCTGGTGGGACAGGGACGGCTATAGCCGTCCGTGTTTTTATGCAAAAAAAAACTATACTAATTACTACTAGAAACACCTCCTAAAAAATCTTCTTCGAGATATTAAAGAATACCGAGAAGAGAAGCGTCCTATCATATACATGGATGAAACCTACATTCATTCTTCCCATACTCACTCGAAAAGGTGGAGCGACAATTCCAATGAGGGATTACGTGCTCCGATTTCAAAAGGTCAGAGACTGATAATAGTGCATGCAGGTGGCGAAAACGGGTTTGTGAAATGAATTACGAAAATTATAAAAAATGGCTTCAGGAAATGCTTATTTTCAATCTTTCGCCACGTAGTGTCCTGGTTGTTGACAATGCTTCTTATCACAACGTGCAAGTTGAAAAGTGCCCTAATATGAGTTCAACGAAAAGTGTAATGAAAGAGTGGCTAAGACAACGCAATGTGCCTTTTTTAGATGATTATGTTAAAAGTAGATCTTTACAGCATTGTATAAATCCATAAACCCAGATTTAAGGTGTATGAAATTGACAGAATACTGGGTAATAATGGTCATTCGGTATTACGGCTGCCTCCGTATCATCCAGATCTCAACCCCATTGGATTAGTATGAGCAGCTCTTAAGAAATACGTGGCCGATAAAAACGTTAACTTTAAGTTTAGTTCTGTGGATCGTTTTTGCGATGAATTTTTTCAAACATTTTCAAATGAAGAGTGGAAAACACGGTGTGAACACGCTAAAAATTTCGAACAATTTTTTAGGAAAAAAGGACCTGTTTTTGATTTAGTTTTTGATGAAATAATAATTAATCTTGATAAAGACAGTAGTAGTGATTTCAGTGATGATAATTCTGAGTCTGATAGTGATTTTTCAGGAGTTGAGCCTCTGTAAACATTTTACTCTTAATTATTATTTCTTATTGCTCTATCTTCGCGAAATTTTAAAATTTTCTTTTCTGTCCATTTCTAAGGCCCTAATAATTTTTTAGTCCCTGTAACGATAATTTTTATCAACGTCTGTTTTGCCTTGCAATTCTTAGAAGACACAGATTAAAGCAAAAATGTGAATTTGGTTTCGAAAATTAGTTACGGATTTTAATATCAGATGTCGCTATTTGTGTCTATACCAAGCCATGTTATACTCCGATAATTTTATTATTTTGTTATTTGGAACCATTTTAATATAACTGGATCACATTATTACACCCATGAACAAAAATAATTTTATTTACTAAAATATATTTCTAGTTTATAATAAATAAACATGGACATATAAACACAGATGGACTCAGTTATTTACATAAAATTGTGAAGTCAAAATTATTTGAATAGGTCACATTCTCAACACCTTCAACTGTTGTCACGTTTTTTTTATTAAAATTTCTTATTCGCAAAAATATTCTCTGAAATAGTCACTGAAAATATTCAGTGACTCATCCAAATATCAAGTGTGCACATAGTGTGCATTATCATTTAATAATAGCGTATAATAGATATCAATCAATTATTTTATATGTAGAAGCACTGAAAACTATTTATAAATGGCAACGGTGTTTACATTTCTCTGTCTTATGACCTACGTCGAACTTCAAATGCATGTTTGTTTACTTTTTACAGTAGATGAGGAAAAGTTGTTTTTCGATATTTTGGCTGTATTTTGAGTGATATTTGTGTAAAGTGAAATAAACATATTATAATAATGGTGCTACAGGTTTGCATTTACAAAAAACGAAATATTTACATCCCGATCTCTCATTTCATTTGTAAGTACTGTTTGTTTACATTATTTAAGATTAGGAACTGGCGTACCATTGTGCTTATTCATGTTCATTAATGTATTAAAAATAAGATATGAGTTCATGAAATTTCATTTTTAAATTGTAAGTAGACATCATCTGATTAAAAAAAATCTGTTTAAATAACTTTTTAATTTATTATTCTCATGGATACAAATAAATTAGTGAAATGAATAAACTCATTTATTTTTCTATGTAGGTTTCCAAATAATATTGACGATCGAACTATTTGGGTAGCAAATTTAGGAGGAAACATAAAGATTTTTTATTGTAGCATTATTTTGATACCTATTAAAAGATTAACTTGAATTCAACTATATTTTACTGATTAATTTTAAAGCAAATAAAATTGTATTTTAATTTTTCTATAAAGACGTGGTTAAATTTCATAACATTTAACCAGAACATTATCATTATAAAATTCCAATGCCGGACCTGTATATTCGAAGAATGCCGGTTCAGCTTGACGTCACTTGGGTTGCGTTAGATATGATCCGGATACTCATTTCGGCTTTTGGGTTCGTTAACTATGACCCGGCAACTCGTTGTCGGCTCTTTGAGCGTGGGCGCACCGGCAGCTGAGAGTAGCGTTCCAATCTTAACACTGTACACATCTCCACTCGTAGTAT